CCTAAGTTTGTAGAGTATAGTTTTGTACAGACTTAGAGGAAAAGCCACTCACAGCACGAATTGAGACAATAAAAGTAACGCATTGGTTAGTATTTGTAAGTGCATTTCTCTATAAATCAAGAGCTCGTGGTTACATAATACAAATACACAATTAATGAGTAACCGTTGTGAGTTATATCGATTTTAATCACATTGTTAGCTAACGTATAGTTGCATTGTTGAAATACAGCGATGTATCTGATGATTTAAAGTACCTAGTAGATGTAAATTATCATGTACACGCAACAGGAATGTACTGGCACTTCAGACAAGTGTTTGAAGTAGGAATGCCGTGTTGCTGATCACGTGTTGTCGATCTAACATATATTGCAATTAGGTCATTATAACAAGAAAAGGCAAGGAGTAGTGAATACCGTCATAATGATATATATAATCGTGAAGCAAATATTGACAGTAAAATACTTTACCTCATCAATGACCGAATTTATAAGTCTAGAAAATAAATACCAATAAATATTTAATAGAAACAGTCTGTTTTTACCTTATTTATAAACTCATAAAATATGCATAGACAGTCAGCCATTCACTGACAAAAGTAAATTGTAGCGGGTAATGGGCCGCTAGCATATTCCTTTGAGATAAGTCTCAGATGCGAGACTTCTAGTCTATTGTGAATTTGGCGATTGTAATGTGAACATAAACACATGTTGGGACACCATGTTCCTTCGGGATGCATACAGGATAGTTTTAAAGAATCAAGGTACGATTGCAATTATCTTTGTTTATTCATTTTTTTTCCGCATTGCTTTATTTGGTGCCATAGACGAGAGACATGTTTAGTGCCTTCCAGAAAACTGTAGAATTATAAATTCAGTCACCGTATCTCCTGGGCAAATAAAATCATTAAATTTTTGATAGGCGATTATATCATGACGAAATATATGTCACTCTCTAACCGTATTTGTCCAGTGGACATGTATAAAGTATGAATGATCTATCAGCCTGAATCATGTCATGCACGACGTTCATGTCGTGCAGAATCTAGTTGTAGATATGCATGTCATCTAAACCTCCTACGTACGTATGTTTTCCCAGGCGGGTGTTTGCGTACAAGGTTAAATTAAACAAAACACTTTCATATGAACTGCACAGCATCGAAAGAGCAGGGGACACAATTAGGTTCTCGTTAGTTTATTGATTTGTCACGTAATCGATCTCGACGAAGTGAATGTAAAATAAAAATTACCAAGAGGTGGCCAAGAGGTAAGGTGGCCATGTTTTTTCCCTCTTCAAAACACGTCTTCTTTTACATACATCGCTAAAAGTGTATTTACTTTTCTCATGTCGGGATTGGTAAATAATTGTATTAAATTAAATGAAATCAAACAAATCAATTCGCTTCAATGCAGTTGTCGTCAGTAAACATGAATGGATAACTCGATAGTAACAATTAACAACCTATAAATAATTATAAGGCCAGCCTTCTTTCCAAATTCTTTCCTAGTATCAACACAAAGTCAATTTTCAAATGTTATTACACAGCTAACTACAATCTGCTTGGCATACATACTAAAGTCTTACAGACCTGCAAAATGTACTAGTATTGACCTCAATTCAAATCATGACTATTATGTTAAGGAAGGCAAGATTTTGTCGCTAAGACAATACAACCTATGTCGTTATCCCATGCTCCGCCCATTTCCTTACTATTGTGATGACAGGAAAAAGGTCTATCAAAGAGCTACATATCTGTGATTAGCTAGCATAAAACCGTGAATTTACTGCAGAAATTACTCAACTGTATTAATTTTAACAGCCTGTGAAAAACACCTGTATATCAGTAACTCAGGCCTGTTTTGGAAAGCAACATAATGCACACTTGTTACTACGTTGAGTAAAATAAAAAGCAATTACTTTAGAAATATAATGGAAACAAGGATTTAATGCAGCATATAGTCACATATAATACTTATATGTGTATTCGAATGTTTTTTACAGAGGCAAAGCGCGAATTTGAGAGTACGGCAGAGGGTGCATGTGCATGTAAAGTGCATGTGAAATGGCTGCTATTTTCTCGCCTAAAATCATTTATTGGTACATTATTATTATTTTTTATGTTTCTAAGCATAAATATTTTTTAAGTCAAAAAATGTGTTTCAAACTCAGTCTACGGCAACTTTATTTTTGTGTATTTTAAAACGAGGCTCATCATTATTGCATACAGAAATTCCCCCTTGTGACGTACTAAGAAGGGGAGCTTGCTGGGCAGCTTGCCGATACATGTAAATAAGGTACATTTCATGTTCAGTTTTCTTATCTTTGACTAATTGCCACCCATGTACATGTTCGTCCAGGAAGAATGGACCATAATGAACACATATTATCAAGTTTGTCGCATATGGTTGAGTTAGACGCGAAATATGTCCTTTCTGACGTAGCTGATCAGCGTGATCGTCACTGTCACACGTTTGTGCACTGTCGCTGGACCCCGACACTGAACAACATTCGAGTTGGTAAGAACTACATCGGGGTTGGTCTGGACTACACAGTTACAAGTAGTCAGTCGAAGTGTCGACTTCTATTTCCACGGAACTCTCTTGTTTGTCAAAATAAATTTTTACGCTTTAGAATTGTCTCGTTATTTTGCAATTATACGAGGCATGTCACTACACTGTTTTATTTCATCGATCGTCTGATTAAAAAAAACCATTCAAAATTAAAATGAAAATGAAAAGAGATAATATTTTGACATTCTAAACATTTAATTATAGTGATCAATGAAATAGAGAAAAAAAATACGACAAATACCAAATAAACGACAGCCGCATGGAAATGAACTGATATTTTGTGAAATAGATGTGCGCGTCGCGTCACGACGAGGACGTGTGTGTGATGAATTTGTTTTTGCGTATCTGTTGATCGACTTAATTAGCTGATTACGAGTGAATTGCTGTGTTATGTCTGTCATCGTTTAGGCAGGCAAGGTCCTGGACGGAACTCGACTCAGTGATTTGGAACTAATTACGAGATAACCGTCGCTATTCGGACTACTATTTCTGACAATTAGTATTCGTAGTTATTAATGTAGTGAACGATTAATCAAAAGATATGACGTGTTCAGTGCTTAGTGTGATTGGCTTTATGATTGAAGGTTACGCCCTAGAGTCTTTTTACTGCTTTGTAATTGGTTACGATTTTGAAAGTGAATAGAGTTGTTTTAGTTGGTCTTGGCGAGTACACGAGGACAGACGCAGACCAGTCCTGGACAGTCTTGGACAGAGTCTTGGGTCAGCCTTGCGATAGTCTTGGGGACTTTTCCCCAGGGCGCTGTATCTTATAGAGTTCTCAAAAGACCGAGAGTTGAAACGTATTTTGTTGTGTGCGTCTATTTGACTGTAAGGCTTAAGAGACTTTCCCGATCCCGTACCTCAAGGGGACGTGACATAGAGCCGAGACGAGATTCCCCCCTGACACGTGTGGAGAACCCTAGAGGAGAAGAATTTCCCTCTGATATGTGCCTGAATGTCGTAGCAAATGGACAGCCAAAAAAGCCCGGAGTCATATTCTATAAATTGTTACGCAGATCAAGCTGCAAGTAAAGGTAACAGAGGTGTGAATTCGACACCAATCAGCGAACAATTCAGAAACTTTTAGCCTGCGAAAATAGCAGTGTGTAAGTGCTGCGTAATTTCCTGTTTGTCCGACGCTTAGTTTTCGCGTCATTATCAAAATCATTGCTACCTCATACATAACACAAACAAGTGTTGGTATTGCACCAGTTTTAAATTGTCGCTTTAGACTCTTTAAAACCTATTTGTTCTTTCATGAACGAGGACAGTTTTTTCGAAAAAAGAATCTGAGGTAAAGTGGACACTACATATGACGGTGTAAAGAGGAGGTCCATCCCAATCTTATCTCGTTGCTTTCGAAAAATGTATATCGTTTAAAACTATGTTGAATGACGAAGTGTTTTAAAAGTACGGCTCAAAGAGTATGGCTTCCTCTCATATTTTGGCATTTGGTGGCACACTTTGACTTCGGCGAGATTCTGAAATCCGGAAACAGTCCGACAGTTTCAGAATAGGTGGGCGTGGCTACAACACGAGAAATATTTCAAATTTACTTGGATACAAGTAATCATTTTCAACAACAAAATCAATAATTGTCCATTTCAGTTGGACACAGATCTAAAATGGGAAACGTATGGGTGGGCATTTCACAGTCACCTTAATGATACCGTAGTCTAAAACAAACATTCTGTGTAAAAAAAAAAAAAAAAACACGCAAGAAACATATACGGCGCAAACCATTTAGAGGTAGATAGTTTCGAATAGTTAAAATGAATAAATAAATAAATAAATAAACAAATAACTAAATAACTAAATAAATAAATAAACAAATAACTAAATAACTAAATAACTAAATAAATAAATAAATAAATAAATAAATAAATAAATAAATAAATAAATAAATAAATAAATAAATAAATAAATAAATAAATAAATAAATAAATAAATAAATAAATAAATAAATAAATAAATAAATAAATAAATAAATAAATAAATTTCGTTTAGTTCTGTGTGTCAAAATGTCTCCATGATATCTATGGAGTTCGAGCATTATACATTATCATTTCAACAGTACATTATTAACCACCTGTTGCAATGTGCCAATATAAATCGCACCCAAAGGTGAAACATTTCACCTTTTCACTCAACTTTTCACACATTTAACTTAATTCGCTATTTCCACTCGTAATCACTATAACAGTGTCGTCGTATTACGACAGTGTTGTATACAACACATCTTACCATTGTTGACAATCACATAGCAGCCTAGCAGCTGATCCCGGTGATTCGACGGGTATCACAATTCATCTTTCATATATATACTAATGCTTGTTTCTTCTCGATAGAGCACAAAGTGACGGACTTCCACTCGAATAGACTAGATGTAAACGTGGTTATAGATTTTGAAGCTCGAGTAGTTGTAAATATATGATGGCCACCGTTCTAGAGGAGGAGCCGACAAACTCGACTATGTGGTCGTTATATAATGCTACTGAAGATTTAGGTTCACTGCAGGCAGAATACAAACTTTTGAATGATGCCCGTCTGCATTCCCGTGAACCTTTAGCTTGTGTTTGGCTGACTATTTTAGTGGCAGGTCTTTTCGGCAACGTGGCATTTCTCTACGTGCGAGCCAGGGTCTCCTACATGAAGACCGTGACAAATTGCTACCTCATGAATCTCGGGTTGGCTGACATCATGTTTCTTGCCATCAATGTGCCTTTGGAAACCTGCGATTTGTTCTACGATGTTGCGTCACGATTCCAGACTCTCTATTGCGTTTTGAGCTCCGGAGTTACTCACCTATCCAACTATACGTCCATGCTGACACTGGCGTTGATAACCATGGAAAGGTACTTCGCAATATGTAAACCGTTTCAAGCAGAAAGGCTGAGTAGTAAATCGCGTGCACGACGCGTCATAGCCATCGCATGGGCAGTGGCCCTCGCGTTTGCGGTCATATTTACAATCTCCTGTTTTTCAAAAGGGGGACTAGGAATGAACGCCATAACGTTGATTCTCCAAACTTTGCCGTTTATTGTCTCAATGTCGACTATCACAGTTTTAAACGTTCTTATTGTTGGACAATTGTCAAACCGAAATCACGCAGCCATGTCAGCGCTAGAATCGTCGGCTAGAGCGGAAAGGTTACAAGTTATTAGGCTATTAATCGTAACTGAACTTCTGTTTTTTATATGCGTTTTCCCATATTATTTGGTCGACTTCATCTTTGGTGCCCAAGTGTTGTCTAATACGTGTGTAGAGGACACACAGAAGGAGTTCTGCATGTCTTTAACGCAGCTTTACGCTCTCATGGTATCGATGAAGACATCCATGTACGTTAACGCCGCTATCAATCCCCTCATTTATAACGTTATGAGTTCACGTTACAGGCAAGCCTTCCTGTTTGCTTTCAAGTGTAGAAAGCAACCAATATCCGAATCAGTTATGTATGCTTCAACACAGCTTTAAATTACGCATAGCCAAAGCATTCAACAGCACACAAAATGAGTGAGGTTTTTTTTCGAATATGTTTGCTTCGCATCAATGGCGATATATCAGTAATCTACGTGCTGCTGTTATTACAGTTATCGCAATTTTCAGGGGCCCTTCTTCTGGGTAGCATTTGCGGATTTAAGTAGTACGAAAAAATCACTAATGAATAAAAGGAAAATACTGATTTATTTTTTAACTGAGGACATTTTGTACACATATACTTAACGAAAGCTGTGACATATGACAATAGAACACATTGCAATGTATTGTCTGCTAAAGAGATTACGCTACGCAAAATGTTGTTGTGTTTTGTCTTTCGTAAAAAGCTTTGGTTTATCGGTTGCTACTTTTCCTTAAATAAACAAACTATGACTCTCTGAGATCCAGTAAAATTGCTGTGAATTCAGGTGAGAATGTTTTGGATCAGTGATATTCAAACTCGACCAAACGCAAGCAAAAGTCGTATATAAGAAGTCGATTTAATGCTGCTACGTTGTGCCATTTATTGATATTATATTTATAAATGCCTTTCAAAATGACAAAATACGCTAGAAAATATGAACCATATTTTAATATACACAGGACTGTACTATTATTATTGACATTTATAAAATAGAGAAAATCATTTTGATTTAAATACCCTGTGGCTTACAAAGGTTATAGATTACAATGTCTAATATTAACTATGGTTTATGTGTTACGAAGTAGAAAAGAAAGTATTTGCGTTTGTTTTCTCCTGTTTGATCACTTTTTAAATTGAAAATACGCTCCAGGGACATTGATCGTAGCATGCATGTTAAATGCTAAAGAATGAATGCACTCTAACACTAAGCGTACTATACCGTCAACATAAATAACACTGCCTCAAAAGGGCAGCGAGTGTCCTGTAATGGAATCTACTATATTGTAATTCACTTTATTTACAAAAGACTCAGCATTGCTCGGCTGCACTGTATTCTGCGTTGTTAAAAATAATGTAATTTACAGTACGTAGCATGCGTCTGTTCTTTGTTAGGACGACGGCCAAAGCTACATGATTATTTCTGTTCGTAGACACATTATTCAAAGATTGTTTATGGTTTTAACAATACAGTCAATGTGGTATGGCTGGTCAATGCACATCCCAGCCATTATACGATGTTTCTATCCCGAGGCCCGAGCAGCCAATAAGGTGCCATTTAGTGTAGTAAATACAGAAACTAAAACACCAATCTTTGCTGATGTTGCATTGTGGTTCAAATTCTGGGACAATAGAAATCGTAAGCAAGCCATTACAGATTTGCAACCACTTCAGTAAATATGGCTGTACAACAATGCGCTGGAATATATATTATGCAAATTAGTCATTCCCAAACTTGTACAGTTGGTCGGGTAATTTGCATCTGGAATATCTTTTAGAGGTTCGAAATACAAAAACCTATATAAAATCACCTGGACCCTCTTTGTTAGATAAATCACATCCTACAAGTGGGAGAATTTCGAATAAATTGAAAAGAAATATGGGATTTGGTAATTCAATTGTCAACCCCTTTGATGAATTGAACAGTCGAAAAGAAGATACTTGTAAAAATATTGTGTACCTTAATGTTTTTATAATTCAAAAATGTTGTTGTGGAGCTGCGTAATGTTAATGTTGTGCAGATAAGGAAACACATAATATAAGGTCTCCGAGTTCACAGAAACCTGCAACTACTCATTAACTATGTCATTAAACAAACATGGCTGCCAAAAGAGTTTGACCGGACTCCACACGAAAAAAAAATCGCTGATTATATTCTAAGCATTTTGAATTTTGACATTCCCATTACGTATCCTTGGAAGGAAAAGATGTATAATAATAATGATATTACGAGAATACTTCAAAGTATGCACTCAGACAGTACACCATCGCATCGACCTCCGCTACGCATCGGTCGATATTTCCGCATGTACTCTCTTCGTGCATACTTTGAGGTATTCTCGTAATAACCTCATATAATCATATGCTTATATATATATATATATATATATATATATATGTTTATTAAGGGCACTATATTCATATTTGGGTAATAAACCCATTTTTGTAAAA